GGTCGGGTAGGCACTTGACCCGGTCGGGTACCCGGCCCAAGGTATTCAAACACACCTATAAATAGCACATTTTTCCTTCACAAATAATCACTCCTTCTTCCATACTCTTAAGCTCAGTTTAGAATAGTATTTCTTTTATATTTTTATAGCATGTTTAGTCTCCAAATGAGGAGCTAAACTTCCATTTCTTGGCGTTGCTCTTGAAGCTTGTTGATTATTAAAGTTGTGAGTTATTTTCTTAATTTCTTTCCTTGAAATATTAATCATTCCCTTAATCTATCTATACATTAATGTTGGGGAGTGTTGCTAAGATGACAATTAGTTAACATCTCGACATTAGTTATAGTAGTATTTATTTACTTCCTCTATATTAATGTTGGGGAGTGTTGCTAAGATGACAATTAGTTAACATCTTAACATTAGTTATAGTAAGATTATTCATATTTAATCTTCTTCCTTGAATATTAATTCTTCCCTTAATTTATCTCTATATTAATGTTGGGGAGTGTTGCTAAGATGACAATTAGTTAACACCTCGACATTAATTACTACTAGAAACGATCAACGAACCGATGGTTAATCGTTGATGGTTTCACAAGTGAGTAACTTCAATTTATTAATGCACGGTCGTGGTTAATAAACTTAAGAGGGATTAATTTTGTTGGTTACACCAAAACCGTTGTGTTGAGGTTATCAATCTCAATTGATTTCATCAAGGAGTTAAGAGATTAAATGCTACTATCAAGTCGGTATATGGCGGTGTTCTATACTTGACTAATAGTAAGGGTTATTAATGAACGGTCGTTGTTAATAACTACCCTCGATGAATTGGATATACTCCTCGATTGAGTATTCGAGAGGGGATAAGTTATAGATATAACAATGATCGACTAAAATATATCAACAAGTGGAAAGTAGCAATGCCAAGTCCTTTTCATCTTTGAATTAAATCACATATAAGTTGTTCATCTTTGTGTTTAATTAAATTAAATCATTCAATCCTAAACCCCCCTTTTATTTACTAGTTTTATAGAAAGAGAACTATTCCTTTCCCTGTGGATACGAACTCTACTACGCTATACTACGTATAAGTGTTAGTATTAAATTTATTTTGACGCACCGTGACAAAGTGTTCGTCATGATGTACTGATGTTTATGCACTACTAAATAGTACGAACCAGTTGGTGATAAGAAACAATATATTATGGCCAGTTTATCGGCTTAAGCAATCATTTTTTTTCTTCTACATATGTATTTTTTATTTTGCAAGTTGAGTTGCGCAGTAATCAAAATAAGTAAAGTTAGAGTTACTTTGTTGACTAAATTGGATGAACTTTTAGTAAATGATCATTATAGCTATTTTCAATTGAATGATTAGATCGTACTTTCAAATTAGTCGTAAATAAACATGATTTAATGACTAAACGATTAAGTCACTGTTAAAGTCCAAACTGCCCCTAGTCATTAATGTCCAATTTTCATGTCTACCTCTAGAACAACTCGAAAGGACATAAAAGCGGTCGCCGGTCGGGTTTCGTTACGGGTGGTGGGCTGTGCCACGTGGACGGGTCAGTAAAAGCGGTCGCCGGTTGGGTTTCAGTACGGTGGGTGGGCCGTGCCACATGGACGGGGCATAAAAGCGGTTGTCGGTCGGGTTTCAGTACAACTTATATTGTATACTGCATAGTATCACTATACAAAAAATTGTGTTCTTAAAGCTGAATGCGGGATTTTGTTGAAGGGAAATACTCCCTCAGTCCTGAATTGAATTACAAACTTTAATTGGTCAAAGGATTAAGAAGAATCAGAATTTGGCGTATAATTTCCCATTTTGCCCTTTCTCACATGACGTAGAAAACAAACCCGTAAATTGGAAAACTAAGGGTCTGTTTACTAACAGAGATCGATATTTTCCAGTTTTTCAGAAACTAGAAAACTGAAAAAAGAAAAACAGAAAACGTGTTTACCAAAAAAAATTGCTGAAAAACTGGAGAAAGGAAAACATAAAATTGTGTTTACTAAATCGTTTTCCAAAACAAAAAATGACATACGTCTCTGTTTTCCTTAATGAATTGGAGAAATGATGTTTACTACTTTTCCAAATTGATAAAACGTGGATGTTGCAGTGCCGCTCCAATGAATTTGCACTTACGTCTAGTGTTGGATTGGTCCTACTCCGGTGTCAGTTCCAATCTGGTCCGGTCAACAATCTGGCGGTCCGGTCCAAGCATTGACCTGGCGGTTCATCTTCAGTCCGACCGACGGCCGTGCAATACCTGTCTAGTCCAGTCGACAACCCGGTTGTCCCTGTCCGATTCGCTCCACAACCCCGCAGCCCCTGTCCGATCCAGTCCATGACCCGACGGCCCTTGTCCAGTCCGGTCCATGACCCGATGTTCCCTGTCTGATTTGATCCACGACCAGGCGGTACTTGTTTGGTCCGATCGACGGTCTGGAAGTCCTGGTCCGATACGGTCTAGCCAATGACTCAGCGGTCCTCGTCCGGTCAGGTCAATGAATCGAGGTCCCCGTCCTGTTCGGTCAACCACCTGGCGGTCCCTGTCCTATTCGATCAATGACATGGCGGTCCCCATCCTATCTGGCAAATGAATCGATGGTCTGTGTTCGATCTGATCGACAATGAGGAGGTCCCGAGTCAGCCCCATAAACGACTCGCAATTCTGTCCGGGACGATCAATGAACCGGCAGTTCAGTCTCAATTATTCGACATAATTTTTTAAAGTTAAAAGTTTCAAAAGAGCCGTTGAGTTGACAACCAATAGGAAAATTGGGAAAGAATTCATCAAATTAACTGTTGAGATCGACCGTGACCTACCGTTTTCGGTCCCAAGTTTCCTATACGTGGGATCCAATACCCTACTTGGGGTATACTAGGTTTGATTCCAAACTAGGACCGTACTTTACTATTTTCGGTCTTTTGGTCGGTCACAAAAACCGGGTAAAAAAATTGCATGAACATGTTTTCAGTTATGAAAATGAAAAACTTAAAAGTGAAAATAAAAAGTTGAAGATAGAAAAACTGGAAAGTGAAAACAAAAAATTGGAGAACGGAAAACATAAATAGAAAATTGGAAAATATATCTGTTAGTAAACAAATCCTAAAAATTTTAAAGTACAACTTTTGTCAAACAATATGATGTGTATTATTGTGTGTCCCTACATGGCTTGAAAAAAAAGTTAAACAGGGAACGCTGCGCTAATGCCTAGAATCGATCATTAGCGTTCAAGAGCATCTTTGACATATATCGCCGTCCGCGCTTCAATGCTTCGACTAGCAACGCAAGTATTTGATTCGACGAGGGCGACGATGACTCATCCGTGAGGTTCTTTGAGGGCAGCAGCGAGGCTGCAAGTCATCTGCAGCTGGATCAACTAAACGTGTCGAATCTAAGGATTTTCATGCAGAGCCAAAGCTGATAGGCAGTGGCGGACACATGTAGTGGTTAATGGGGGCGACTGCCCCTCTAATTTTTTTGTCAAGGTATAATGGTATATTTACCCCGAAATTTTAATATATACGGAGTATGTATTTATATGTCTTTTTTTACACTGCCGCCCTATCAATCGAAAATTCCTGAGTTCACCGCTGCTGATAGGACCAAGCTGGGGAGGTTTGAAGTTGATTTCCCCCTAAGCCGGAGTAGGGGTGGGCAAAAATACCGAAATATCGGTATACCGCACTTACCGTACCGAAAAATACCGGAAAATACCGAAATATTGGTATACCGTCATTTTCGGTACGGTATCATACCGTACCGGTCTATTTCGGTACGGTAACGGTATATGTTTTCAAATACCGCGGTATACCGGTATAATACCGTACCGACTCCCTACTCAACAATTACTTTTAATTCTAATATATTGTAGAAATCCATTACAATTTTGAAGCCCAAAATTAATATTTAAGTTGGTTACAAATACAAAAATACAAAAATAAAGGTCCAATTTCTCAAACCCACTATAACCTTATAGGCTTCTACTACGCTAACCTTAAATAACTAATGGGTAATGTACAAATGTCAAGAAACAAGTCCATCTTGTTCCAAGACCTTGCAAGTCGTGATGGTTGGGCCGCTAAGTAGCTGACGAGTGAAGATATATACACTTATGTGACAAGTGTATCTACATAGGGATTCAGCGAGTCGAGACACACAACTTTGTCCGAAAGTCTTATTCAATTTTTAAAAAATTATAAATGATTTTATATCCATGTTGTTTGAATAGTTTTATTTATTTTTGTTAGAGATCACTATTGATTTAATTATATCTATATTGTTCAAGTTATTTTAGGAGAATGTGTTACTTTTTAATATGTGGTATGTTGAACTGCTTAAATATACTAATAATAATTATTGTTCAATATTGAATTGACATCAATAGATTATTAATTGTATTTCGTAACATTTTAATAATAGATTTAATATGTCGCTAGTAATAATGATTTAGTATATTTCGTTAGTCTATGATAATTTTTTGTATTGGGAGACATGCACGGTAATTTACCGATACCGTACCGTTACCGAACCGAAACTTCGGTATACCGAAATGCGGTATACCGAAACTTCGGTAAGGTAAAGGTATGCAAATTTTGCATACCGAAAGTTTTGGTATGGCAAAGGTATGAGAAAAAATATAAGGTATACCGTACCGAACCACCCCTAAGCCGGAGCCCACTTTATTTATCCGTCTTTACCTTTAAAAGGAAGAGAATCTGGCCATGGACTCCATGGAGAAGGTGTCAAACTCCATTTATAGAGATGGTTGTGCTTCCTATGGGAATATTGGGAATACTGGGAGAGAAGATGGGTGGAAGTGATTTCTGGGTGGGGCAGAAGATTAAAAGGCTAAGGAGGGCAAACTTGTCACTTTAGTCATATTTCTATACATAAAATGGAAAGTGACAATTCATTTGGAACACTCAAAAAAAGAAAAAATTTGCAAAACAAATTGAGATAAGGAGTTATTTCCACTTTAGAGACTGTGAGAATCAAGCAAGCATTTTATATGAACCATTTCGATCGATCTCCACACAAAGATATAATATTCGACACTCCATACATACATTAAAATTTGAAGAATCAACTTCCGATGCTGTTAAGTTTATGAGGCGATCAGCGAATCGTGCCGCTCACGAGCATGTTCGAGTAGCGTTTCTTTGTCCGATAGCAAAATTTGGATATCTTCTCCTCCTAGTTGTATCCTTATAGGCTGTAGCTCTAAACCATGATTTGATTAATATGACATAAGTTTATTGTGTGCAAAAAATGAAGAAAAAAAAAAGGGAAACTTCCGATGAATTCCTCAGAGGACTGAATGAGTAGAGTTGTGAAAAAGAGAGCCATTGAGACGAACCATCTGCCATATCTGATTGAGTTTGTATTGCTGACATCCGGATTAGGTCCAGGTGCCCCATTTACAATATTTCCGTCGATATAGCTGCACACACACGATGAACACGATGCATCAATTATCCGTACAACATAGTGATTCTAAGTTGTAAGCGGTTGTCACAAGAATAGGTTAGATGGCCACAAGAATAAGAAATCGAGATTAAAAAGAAACTCATCTCGGTTCAAAAATATTGGCATTTAAAAAAGAGCAAGTACTAGCGCATCAAAAAACAAAATGCACGAGTTCAAAGGGTGGGGTAACAAAGAGGCTAGAATGGGACTGGTTAGTATACAATTTGTGTTAGAGCATGTGTGATAGCATTAAAATTAATTGAATATGCTGAAATGAAATGATTTCCCCTACTTTATTGTAGTTGCACGCATAGTACTTAGCACTGTTTGCTATGAAATGAAACATTATCTTAAATTTATGGATACACACAAGATGTACACAAAATGTGTATATTGTATGTGTACACAGGCAATTTGGCATCAACTTCTGCCCCAATTTTAACGAATTGCATGTGTACACAGGCAACTAGGAGGTTTTGTGTACAACTTGTGTACAACTAATGTACACTAAACATTCTACTAAATTTATTTAATATGTCCAAAAGGTAGAATCTCCCATCCCAAGAGCCCCCACACCCGACCCGACAGGATGGTGAAGGAGTAAGTCACGGTGACTCAGTCGGTCCAATGGAGATAGACCTTGTATCCATGCGCACCAGAGGTCTAGCCCAGCACGGAGGAGCTGCAGCCTCCACACGGCCGCTGCGAGTTTCAATATGATCCTTGGTCAATGTCCAAATTTCCCACCATTAGACCAATTAGCTACCCGTGCGGGTTTATCTTAAATTTACTAATTACTACGTAATACCACTATTTTTGGACTCCGCATTTAACAAGTAATTTTTTCGAATTGCAATTAATTAGGAATGAACTTCAAATATAGGAATTTTTCCTTAAATATTACTAAAAAGAGTCATATACAAAAATATTACCTAGTAGCTATTAGTGAATACAATTGTGTTTAAAATTTAAATCGTAGTAACTTACATGTGATTACTACAATGCAAATTTGAACACAATTATAGTCACTAATAGTTACAGTACTAAGTACGGAGTAATATTTTTATCCATCACATTTTAAAGAATAATATTAATGGTTTTTCTCAAACACTACATTCGTCCCTCAATTAAGATCTCACTTTCCTTTTCGGGATGTCCCACAATTAAGTTCACACTCCTTTTACTTTCCATTTGTGGTAAGAAATATGTGTAGATAGACTAATATGCCCTTCGTCTTTTTATCCTTTCCCCCACCGGCCTACCCCATGTAATCCTATACCAGATCTCTCTCTCCCTCTGCAAGTTCCCACTTTCATGTACACGGTATCTGTTAAGACACGGGGTTCCATTCTAAAAGGTCAATCTGATAGGAGAAGTAGCCCGTGTGTTAATATAGCACTTTGTTCATCCAAATGTTTCCGGTATGGGACATTTAACACCCCTCCTCATGACCAGACACTTCGTCTGGATCGTGCAATCATTCATTTTTTTCATCGGTCCATTTTTTCATCCAGCCAGAATTGTCATTTTTTTTATAATCGTGTCATCACGATTCATAAGGGGTCCACACCATGTATCGATTTGGCTCTGATACCATATTAAGATATGGGGTTCCATTCTAAAAGGTCAACCTGATAGGAGGAGTAGTCCGTGTGTTAATATAGTACTTTGTTCATCCAAATGTTTCCTTCTCGCTTCTCAAAGACCTTCCTCTTCTCCATCTACTATCCACCTTCGTTGTCCCTTTTATTCTCTGAGAGAATTTGTTCGCCACTAGGATTTGCATCACCATGAGATAGAGAGTTCTAGGTCGTGGAGAATGGAGATGCAGTCCCTTCCGGTAGAGAGTTCTAAGTCTGAAATTGGTCGTTTCCTTGAGAGTCGAGAACAGAGGGCTCAGTTCGTTGGTTGCAATTGAGAATTCCGAATCATTCTGGCCAGATTTACCCGACCTGTCGGTCATCTGAAAATGTGAAGAGGATAAAAAATTGCAAAAAAATGGATGACGATTGGTTTTCTCTCCGGCAAGGAAGGTGGGTTTCCATCTCTTGTAGGGAAGGTTGGTTTCCATCGCCGGCAACGGAGGGAGTATAAGCTAAGTAGATATTAATTCAAAAACTATATGAAAAGTTTTAATTAAAGCTTGGAAATGGAATTCTAATATGATAAAAACAAACATAAAAATTTGTCTTGGACCAACAAATTAAAGAAAAAAGTACTTCGTATTATGTAAAGCATGTGAGGGAATTACCTCGGAAATTTGCATCCATCATAATCTGCAAATAAAAAGAACAAGGGTTAGAATTATGGGGTGTTTGAATGTGATTCTTAAGCGGAAGTTGGAGTATTTGGGTGAAAGTGAAAATAAGCAGAAAATTGAGAACTAAAATGAATCACTTTACTCCTAATTTTTGAAGGTGAGAGAAGTCACTTTTTGAAAATTGATTCTGATTCTACTTCTAATTTATTTAAAAAAGAAGCAGAAACAGAAACACTTCCAAACAAGGAACTAAAATGAATCACAAATTCGATCTTAAGAGCATCTCCACATAAAAAATCTAAAAAATGATCAACTTGTCCTCAACCATTATCTTCATTTATCCAGATTTTTATGGAACATACATAAACTCAAAATCCTCACTTCAATGCATTCACACAGGGACGGATCCGGGGGGGCGACCGCCCCCGTTGGACTTTCAAAATTTTCTACTATATATGTGTAGTATTCTCATGAAATTTTCATACTTTAATTAGATATATATGTTTTCGCCCCCCTTAACTTTTAGTTTTCAAATTTAATATATAGTCTTAGATAGTGTAATACTTAATTGGAGATTTAAAAGAAGTAAAAATCTAAAATAATTCAGATTGTTTAAGACTTAGGATACCTATTATATAAAAACTCATAGCTTTGTAATAGTTAATTATCTTTATTAGATAATTAGTACTAAATTTAGTAAAAGATCAAACGATATTAAATAAAAGACATACTAGTTAAATAGTCTTTAGATCATATGAAGTGAATCCAAAATATAAATATGTGTTGACATTAAATTATACAATTCATTTATTTCTTATTTTCTAAAAGCAATTTATTGCATAAACAATAAACTTTAAAGTATTTTAGCATTAATACAAACATAATATGCACCATGTATATGAATTAACAATACTACGTATAATACTATTCTAAAAATAATAATCTTATACATACTATTGTAATATTAAGAAAACTTCTCGTGACCATGAATACCCCTCTTTGGTAGACAAAAACTACGGTTCAAAACCCAATTTCTTTATTCTGATAAGATTCATGTGGTTATTAAACAAGGCATATGTTATTTAAAAGGCATGGATTATATTGATGTGTACTTTTAATTTTTTTTTTTACCTTCAAATAATTCGACTAAATGTTATATATCCTTTTTATTTTCTAATTAATTTCCTTTGGTTTGCAATTTCTTATGCTTTAATGTATCACACTTTTTTCTACATCATTTATGGTTACAAAATTACAATTATTTTTTCATTGCCTAAACTTAGAATGTAATGGATTTAAATGTTATCGTGTATGTACTAATGATTTTTTTGAATAAAAATTAGCCACAGAGTCCTACAATAGTGAAAAAAATCGTCCCGCTACACTAGCAGAAAAAACTTTCCCCGCTACATTAGCGGGAAAAAATTCGCCCCTCTATGCAAGCGAATTTATTTTTTGCCTCCTATACTAACGAAAAAAAATTTGCCCCCTTTGACTTGAAATCCTAGATCCGTCCCTGCATTCAGACACTTATAAACTAGTACATAGTGCATGCGTACACACACTGTAAATACTAAATAGTACTAACGGTAAATAATATACATGTATATATGCGTGTGTATGTATGTATACATACCAACACATGCATAAAATCAATAAATAAATAAGTCAAGTTAATATTACGTGTAATGATAGGGGTATATATATTATTTTAATTTTAAAAAAAAATTAATGAGTACATAGTATACATTTACCGTAGAAAATTTAAAAGGCATGCGACTTTCTTTTAAAAAAGATAAACATATGTTGAAGAATGGCTGGAGCCGTACACTAACTGTAAGCTTAATTATGTTTTGAAAGTTGGGAGAAAGAACCTTCAACTTTGGGAATAATCTTGAAAGTGAGAAATAATCTCAAAATAATCCCAAAATAATCTTTGGAGGTGGATGCTCTAAGAAGGGAAAGAAAACGAATCAGATAAAATCATAAAAACGAGACTCACTAGGTTCCTGAGGGGTGACAGTGGCGGTGTTTGAGAAATTACAGCTCTCGCTGGCCATGTCGTTCTTAAGGTAATAAGAATGGAAAACAAGGGACGCCCTTTCCACGAGATCTGCGTCGTCGTTGGAGGGGCTGCACGACCCTGTCTGCTGGATCCCCCTACAGCTTTCGGGATCGTTTCCGCAGGCCCATTGCAGCGCTGACTGAAGCGATCCCACATCCGCATCGCTCCTCGCCACACACCACTTCCCCGCCGCCGCTTCCGCCGCCGCCCCTGGCCACCGCGTCCAAAGCAGGGCGAAGAAAGTGATGATGAGTGATGAGGCCGAAAAGCTTTTTCTCATCTTCTTCATTCAAAAGATCCGTGCTGATTACGAATTGAAATCGGGTCTACTCCATAATGGCCCAGCGTATCCTTGGATGGAAGTGATTTATTCTGGGAGTGCATCTCTAAAGTCGGGCTGTTCGTTGCTTTCTGGGAAATTTCATACCCCGTTACAGAAACGGAGTACAGAAAAGCCACTTAAGTCTTAAGACATGGCCGGAAAGCTACTTTATGCAGCATTTTTGCATATCATGTCGGGTTAATTTCTACCCGGTATATTACCGGACCTAGAAGTGGCCAGGACGAACGACCGGGTCAGGAGTCAATTCATACAAAGGGTCAATCTGGTCAATGCCGGAAATTCTATTCAACTTTTATATAAAATCTTTACAATTTGTCTTGGGGTACACAAGATGTACACATATTTACATCATATAAAAACCCTAAAAAATTACCATTCCATTTACCCCCACCTTCTCTCCTCTCTTTCTTTCCCTCCCACTCCCCCTTACGTATTTTCGCACACAAACAAGCTCAGCAAAGGTCTACTGTTCCTTGAAGCTTCTTCTTCCTCCTGTTCTCTTCACATCTCGGCGGAGGAAGTATAATAACACTTGAGGAATGGATTATACTTTTGAGGAGATGGCCTTCATCAGTAGTCATGACATGGCCGATTGTATTGGAGCTAAAGTAGATGAAGCCGGCTCCGGGTGTGAACCTCCGGCGACACAAGAAGGTGAGCCCTGTACGAAAGATGTCGGCGACGGAGAGGAAAACCAGATTCTGGAGGTTGATGATGAAGAAAGTACGTAAAACGTAATGTCTGTGAAGACAGGCATTTCGTGGTTTCAGTGCCTGTAGAACTGAATGACATTGTACTTTGGTTACTCTAACATTCATTTATGGTACTCTATGATTTTGAAGTAAAAGTGTTGTATTCGTATTGTATTTTTCATGTAGTAAATGTTGATATTCTATTGCCTGTGCACACAAATGAAATAAAGTAAATGTGTTTTGCTATTGCCTGTCCACAGACGTTTATATTTGTAATAATCATTTTTTATATATATGTGTTGTCTCGGACCCAGATAACACAAATGTAGATGGTGGTACAACAGACGTCCATGTAGAAGTTGGGATGTTGTTTGCGGGAAAGATGAAGCCTATGATCATTATAAGAATTACGCAAAACGTATAGGTTTTCCCATTTTGAAAGACTTGCAAATAGTGTGGCTGCTGATGATGAACATTATGAACGCGTCTTGACATGGCTTTAAGGTGAATTGGAAAAATGCAACATGTCAAATGCTCATCAATTTGTGGAGTTATGACTCAATTAACGGACACTCTACCAATCCAAGTCATAGGCGTGAACGGACAAACAAGTGTTCCTATTGAAGATCCAAACAGGACAAAACGTAAAGGCGCTCCGAGAAAGAATAGGCAAAACGGGCCAATTGAAAAGGGAAGAAAAAAGCTAAGGTACATATATCCATTTGTCTGTGAAACCGGATCAAATTGTCTGGTCACAGACATTAACCTACTGGAACCCCTGGGTCACCAAAGTGTGAAATGCATGTGCGACCATACTAATTTGTCTGGCCACAGACATTAAGCCACTGGAACCAATAGATTACCCAAGGTATAAATGTCTGTGGGGCCGGAGGAAAATGTCTAGTCACAGACATTAAGCTACTGGAACACATAGATTACACAAGGTATAAATGTCTGTGTGGTCGGAGGAAAATGTCTGGCCACAGACATTAAGCCACTGGAACCAATAGATTACCTAAGGTATAAATGTCTGTGAGGCCGCAGGAAAATGTCTGGCTGCAGACATTTAGCCACTGCAACTTCAAATTTCCTATCCACTCATATTATGTACTAGGGGTGTTCGTCGGTTCGGTTTTGGCGGTTTCGGTTTTATCGGTTCGGTTTTAGTCGGTTTCGGTTTTTAGTCGGTCGGTTTTGATCGGTTTCGGTTTTAGTCGGGCGGTTTTAGCGGCTTTAAAAATAGATGTAACCGAGAATCAGACCACAAAAAATGAGACAATTTTGGTCAATTTTAGCCATTTTTGCCGGTTTATTTTCATTTGACCGGTTTTTTAAGCCAAAAGTACGAACCGTAAACCGAATAACCGATGAATTAGTCAATTTCGGTCGGTTTCGGTTTTATCAGTTCGGTTTTGGTCGGTTTCGGTTTTGGTCGGTTTCGGTTTTGATCGGTCGGTTTAGGTCGGTTTGGCGGTCGGTTTCGGTTTTTCGGTTTTTTTGTTCACCCCTATTATGTACTATTGCAATGTATAACAGGGGCGGCCAAAAAAGCAAGCTGGGAAAGCATCACGGGAAGTGGTCGGACCAAGCAACGTTGAAGAGGTAGTACCAAGAAATGTTGCACCAACCAATTTAGAATGGATGTATAATGATGACTTAAGCTTGAACCTTTCTTTGTTTTAGGCAATTACAACGCATGTAATAACTCAATTTTTGTATCATGACAATCAATGACATTTTGTCACATACTTTGCCATAACTATATTCAAAATGCCGCAATTTATGACATATTGTCACAATATATGAATCAACACAAGATCCACAAATTGGCAATGCTAGAAAGATTTAAATATTGGAATGTTCACATCCATTATACTACCATCATATACTGCAAAACCAGAAGTTGATATACATATGTTTGGTTTAGGGATTACATAAAAAACATAAGCATATATATGACTACTTCGGGGCATATGATGGACAAATTGTTACAACAAAAAATAAGTACTTTGGTTTAAGTGTTTTTTCCCATCATTTAGAAGCCCTCATACATTCTTGAATCTTCTACGCTTTCTTCCTAAAACCCCATAGGCGTACTGCAAAGTTGTTTCGTATTGTGCGGCAGTTGTCGTACTCACACCCGGGTGTTAAGGGGAGGTCGTGCATCAAATGTTCAGCAAACGCAATAACCATAACACCGCATACTCCACTCCTGCACATAAGTAATAATGAAGTCATATATACATATACGATTCCACCGGTCATCAAACACCATAACCATAAGATTATTTATCAATATTATTTTACCCTATTCCATGTTGCGGAACCACCAGTTCTTGCTTCTTCCTACGAATTACACAAAAGAACTCGTTCATGTACACACTAAATCGGTTACAAGTAATTCAATTGTACACCCAAAACCAAGCATTGTACATACCACATAATGTACAGACAATGATGAACCAACGTACAGACACATGTACTAAGTATGTATCACGTACAACAATATACTTATTTACCTAATAAGAAGCATTCGAAGTGTGAAGAGAAGATTTCCCTAAGAACACACAATAAAATAAAGTAATTGCAAACACACAATAAAAAGGACAGAGTTTAAAAAATAGGGAAAATGGAAACTAGTAATTCAACCTTTTAGCGGTCTTCTTACAATAGTACCACATTTTGATTATTCATGAATAATCCAACCTTTGCACCTCATCTTCATTCACTGGACCCTGACCGGTTGATGACCTACCATTCCAAGTTATTTTCTTATCTTTGCAAACCATTATACCATAAATCTCACCTTTCAAAAAGATAATATTTTGCAAAGATAAGAAAATAACTTGGAATAACAGGTCATCAACCGGTCAGGGACCAGTGAATGAAGATGAGGTGCAAAGGTTGGATTATTCATGAATAATCAAAAGCGAAGCTTCAAAACACACATTAACAATAACACCACGATTGAAGTTAAAAACCTAAAAAAAAATATGTGAGGCGTAGGCACTGTACTTGAAACCTTAGTGATTGAGTATATCATTTGTTGTCTAAATTAAAACCTGGTCAGCCCAAAGGGTAAATGACCAATAGGAATTGTAAATGACTTTAAAATCTTGTAAAATCCAGATGAAAACAGGCCAAGAATTCCAAATGTTGTGCATTATGGTGTTACCTTTGCGGTTACTTCAATTTGTGTGATTCATAGATGTTTTTTCACAGTTATGCAACTAACTAATTCATACGTAGTATCATGTAATTTGCGGTTACTTCAATTTGTGTGATTCATAGATGTTTTTTCACAGTTATGCAACTAACTAATTCATACGTAGTATCATGTAATTGAAAAAATTGATATTTTGTTTTATCTAAGAGGACTAAAACTGTTTTTTATATTACAGATCACTCAACAAAATAGTATGCTTGTTCATTTAACATATTTTCTTAGATAAGATTACAATAATTCATAAGATAATTAGTAAGGTTTATAGCTAATTTCAACCTCTAAAGGTCTTGATTTAGGATAAGAAATGTGGTTGATTCACAAAAAACTATTGACCATATACAGAGCTAAACATGTACTATCTCTACTATAAGACATTTGTCTCACTCAACATACATGTTACGTATAGTTCCTTTGCTCTACACAAATACACCGATACATATTTTTAGGTTAAAGAACACCCTGCTTGGATTCATTTTTGCCTATAGCAAGTGGATTAAGAGCTTCAAAAACAGAAGAATTGCTTACATTTTGAGGTTAAAGAATTGACAAATCAAGTCACATGTAACACAAGACGAATTCCATCAAAAATCGATTTTACAACCTAAACCGTCTGGCCACAGACATTATACTTCCATCCCCAAAACAAAAACAAAATGCTACAATCCGGCCCCTAAAGGTTCCCAACCCACCATTACAGTGTGTTTCTCGCTTCATCAAACTAAAATTGTCAAGTGTAAACTTCGAAATACCCTAATGATTTCAAAAATAAGCCAAGAATGTAACAAGGTATACAAACCACACAATAGGGGGTCAAATTCAACAATACTACTCACAAATGTGTTCAAGAAGTGGATATTACCTTCTCTTTGACGTACACACCATGGTTGTGTCTTCTTCCGCCTGCAAGTCGACGATTCAGACCGGGTCCGAGGTAGCCGCTTCGAGCTAGCCGACGACGGTCTGTGCGAGATGAGGCCGCTTCGACCCGACGACGGTCTGTGCGAGAGGAGGACGCCGGCTTCAGACTGGTCGTGTTGGACGAAGAAGAACAACGGCAAGGGGGGGAGATATGCGCACAGAAAGAGAGAAAAATCGGCTAGGGAAGGAAAAGTGGAGCGACGGAGTTCTGGGAGAAGGCTCGCACATGTGTGGGAGAGAGGTGGGGAAAGGGGTAAAAAAAATGAACTGATTTATTTTTGCCCTTTTATATGGTGTACAACTAGTGTACAAACAATGTACACTAAGCATTTTT